AAAATTTAAAAAACAAAATATTCAGAATATTTCAAGACTTGTACATAGGTGAGGACATACTTGACGAAGGGAATTAATACATTAATAGTGAACTGTTAAAGTTACTGTATTAAAACAAGTCTATTAGAAATGGAGGGGACACCAATGTAACATTTCTTCCTTCATATGTGGAAATACCTGTAGAGCAGAGGTTCCCAAACTTTTTGAGACGGGGACCAGTAAATCCATTCACAAGCTTTTGGAGGACTGGTAACATTCATTTGCATATTCATTAAGCAAATGATGAATATTCAAATAAATTGTTTCTGGTCCTCCCAATGCCAGCTTTAGCAAAGCTTTTGATATGGTCACCCACAATATTCTTGCCAGCAAGTTAAGGGAATATGGATTGGATAAATGGACTCTAAGATGGTTAGAAAGCTGGCTAGACCTGGGTTTCCCAAACTTTTTACTTTAGTTGGAACCCATTTTTTTTTTCAATACTGGTTTTTGCAGCCCTATATATATATATATATATATACACACACACACATACATACATACACACACACACACACACACACACACACAAGAAAAATGAATACATTTTCACGGTTTCACCCGGCTGTTTCCTCCGCCCAGCCTGGGCAAGGGGTTGGGGGACCAGGAGCTGCATGGGCACTCCAGGAGCCCGGAACATCTGGCTGCATCCTCCGCCCAGCCTGGGCCAGAGCTTGCGGGACCTTGTGCCACAAGGGCACTCTGGGAGGCAGGAGCAGATTGGGGGTAGGGTATCTGGCTAGGAGGGAGGGTGCAAGGAGAGGACTTGGGTAGGAGCTGGACGTTCCTGGTCTGGCACCCTCTAGACCTGACTGGTCCCAGATGAGGCATTTTTTGGATCAGGGGAGGTCATTTGAGTGCTCCTAGTTCCCCCTCTCCCCACTAGGTTTCTTTGCACCTCCCTTCCCTGCAACCCAACTGAGCTGCCAACCCCCGCTGCTTCCCTGCACCTCCCCCAAAACTATCCCCCACACTCCAAGGGAGTGCAGCACCAGTTCCCTACAGCCCAGCTGAGCTGCCCTTCTGTTCCTTATGCCTTCCCCCATCCACCTCAGCCCAGTTGAGCCCTGCACTGGTTCCCCCACTGCACAGCTGAGTCCCGTTTTCCTGTACCTCCCCCCAAGACCTGCAGAACTGCTAAGCCCAGCTCTGATTTCCTACCCCTCCCTTTCTTTCTCCCTCCCCTTGAGTTCAGCCCCTGGTTCCTGGCACCTCCCTCCTCCTGCAGCCAAACTGAGCTCTGAGCCCCGTACTTCCTTCCCCACCCTCACAGCGCAGCCCAGCCCCCCTGCACCTCTTCACTCTTGCAGCCCAGCTGAGCTCCGTTTCCCTGCACCTCCCCCCAAACCGTGCAGACATACTGAGCTCAGCGCTGATTCCCTGCCCCTCCCTCCCTGACTTTGAGTCCAGCACTGGGTTCCTGGCACCTCCCTTCTCCTGCAGCCCAGGTGAGCCCAGCGCCCCGCAGCCCAGCCTGGTGCCTCCCTCGCGTGGCACCCAGGGGCAACTGCTCCCCCTGCTATGCCTCTGCCAGGAACCTGGAACATCCGGCTGCATCCTCTGCCCAGCCCAGGTCTTGGGGGACCTGGTGCCGCATGGGCACTCCGGAAGCCTGGAACATGCTGGTAGCCATGCTGAGGCCTGGTATTTTTTTCCTGAGGACTGGTACTGGGCCACGGCCCATAGTTTGGGAAACGCTGCCGTAGAGGAATTTATTCCTTAGAAGTTTGCAATGCAGGATGTTACTATAGTTCACAAGACCCTTGCCAGCATCAGTCATACCTATTTACAAAAGAGGGAGTGGGTGTTAGGATGAAGGATTTGTATTGACTACAAGATTAGTCAATAAGGGGGCTCTGCTGCGGCTCTTCAGTTTAAATGTAGCAGGAACCAGGCACACAGTTGCAGCTCTACATTTTAAATGTAGGAGCCCAACGGGGGTAAGTCCCAGACTCAGACTACTGTGCCTCTGCCTCCCCTGCCCTTCCCCTTGTACCATGGAGACAGTGCTGGGGGAAATGGCTTTTAATCTGGCTCCCCCCCCCCTTGCTGCTTGTGATACAGAGGCAGCAAGACAAGGTGGGAAGTGAGTAGTCAAGTAGTGACTCAACTACTCAATAAGCCTAGGCTTATTGGGTAGTCGACAACTTGACTGGTCGCTTACATCCCTACTTAGCATAATACTTGACTGGAAGCAGTTACTGAGGAAGTGGTATTAAAAGCTCATGTATGTGTGAGATGTCTTTTTGTGAAGAACTTATACTCAGGTACAGTATGTACACAAAACAGATATAATGCCAGTGTTAGTTTATCGTGATACTGATCTTAATATTGCATCTTTTGTTGACAGATGTGCAGCCAGGTTCTCTCGAAAGTCATGGAGATAGTTGTATTGCTGAAAAATGTACAATTATGTTTACAACAAGTGCTGCATTCTTTAACAAACCAATTCTTAGCAAAAGTCATGATCTTGCATATAGTCCAAGAAGTATAACAGTGCTTCTGGCTAGTTGAATATAAGGCACAGAAATCTATGTGGAGGCTCATTCACTCAAGTAAAGACGTCAAATGGTGCAAACTGCATAACAAGTGTTCAAAAAATATCATGGGTAATCGAGAATTAAAACACAGAAACCTAATATCTGATAAAAACACGGTGAGGCTCCCCATCTACTCCCTGGCTTCAGTAAAATGCTTACTGCTCTCCATTCCAACTTGGCTGAAGTGTGTCTACTTTCCCAAATTCTATTTGTTTACTTCAACTCGTAGTAGGCAGTATTCTCCACCTTCTTTAAAATAACATTAGATTTAGATGTTAATTAGTGAGATCTTGACTGATGTACATTATTTGGCTCTGTGAACTATGCCTGCTTTATGATGTATATATTCTGAGTAGGTTTAATACCAGCACTAGGATCTGGGCAGAGGATGATAGATAAATGGCGAACGATAGCTAGAATTAGGAACAAGTGTGAGCTGGGGAAGAAAAGGTTTAAAAATCAAGGCAGATGATCAAGGCGCAGTGAGAAAAAGGAAAGGA